TACTTTACTTAGTTTCTGGAAGGCACCTTTTGTACTTCCAATGCGCCTTCGTATTTCTGTGTCACAGCTTCCGACGTCTGTTGGTACACTACCCAGCTAGTAGCTATTTAATATGAAACAGTTTCCGCCATTTGGTTGGCCTTTGTGTCTGAAAAACTATTGTCTTTTAAAACTTTATTAGGCTTACTATAATTTAGAACAAAACACGTTAGAAACAAAGAAAAGAGTACGGGATTGTTATGAAATAAGTCATTCTATATGGCAGGGGGATTAAAAGGGAATCTGCTCAAAGATGAGGAAGAAATTTTAGGCAACAGAAATGTGGTTCTACAGAAGGATGCTGAGAATAGCATGGACTGAACATGTGAATAATGACGAGGTGGGGTAAATGATTAGCATAACATGGAATAGGATGAATATCTTAGAGATAATAATATTTTATTGGCATCATTGTTTTTTGCAAAATTACTAATCTTTTCCTCTATTTAATTTTCTTCATCTATCATCAACATTTTATTAGAAAACACTTTTCTGTAAAATGTTTGAACAGAGGACAAAAATGTGACATCAAATTTCAAAAGCAAATTGGAAAAGCGAAAAAATGCATTCCAAAAGTAAGCAAAGTATGAAGAAACAGGAAAATATCATTAGAAAAAAAAAGAAGAGTACTGAACTGTCATGTAATATCAGTCCTCCTATATGGCAGTGAATGTTGGACAATCTCCTCACAGATGAAGAAGAGTCTTGAAGCAACAAATGAGTACTGAATTGTTATGTAATATCAGTCCTCCTATATGGCAGTAAATGCTGGACAATCTCCTCTCAGATGAAGAAGAGACTTGAAGCAAGAGAAACAAAGAAAAGAGTACTGAACTGTCAAGTAATATCAGTTCTCCTATATGGCAATGAATGTTGGACAGTCTCGTCACATACGAAGAGACATCGACAGAAATGTGGTTCTATAGAAGGATGCTGAGGATACCATGTGAGCAGTTTTAGAGAAAATGGAAACAAAAAGGACGCTTATACTTAACATCAGAAAGACACGGTTGAAATTTCTGTTGGAATTTTTGGGTACCCTGGTCTACTAGTGAGCCAGCCAAAATGAGCTGACTCATTTTATAGTTCACCAATAGAAGGGTTAACAAATCTCAAGGCTCAAAATATTCGATGTTTTTCCCGATTATTCACTGCTAGCCTTTGATATCGAAGATTGAAGTATAACGGAACAGCTGCTGGTGGCATTGGCGATATAGTCAGATTCAGTAAAATATCTGACTCGAGAGTATTAATCTTTAACGTTGTTTCATTGAACAGATTTCGTACTGCGCTGTATTCTATATTCATAGACTATGGTGAACATGGTCAACAATTTCTAGGGTTCAGAATGAGGAAAGCAGGTTTAGAAAAATTTGACACTCACAGGACAGATTGAAGGCAAGAGAAACAGAAAAAACGCCACATTACCTACCTAACGAGTTTGTGTAAATGAATGACATAACAGAGTTTAAAGAGAGGTAGGAAAAAGACAAACTTTTTAAGAGCTACAAAGGAAAGGAAATTATGGAGTGCCGTGATCGCCAACGTCATGAAAGGATACAGTACATAGAAGAAGAAAAAAAACAAAACCTTTTGTAATTGTTGAGCTCGATATCATAAAATGAAACATTAATAATAATCTATATGACAAATGCCAATGCCAGTGCATCACACTTTTACAATTGAAGGACACAACTCTCATTAGCTCGTCTCCTTTTTATATAATAAATGCTAATGTCTGTGTGTCACATTTTCAATTAAAAAAACACAACTCTCATTAGCTCATCTCCTTTTATATAATAAATTCCAATGTCTGTGTGTCACGCTTTTTCAATTAAAGGGACACAACTCTCATTAGCTCATCTTTTATATAATAAATGCCAATGTCCGTGTGTCACACTTTTACAATTAAAAAGACACAACTCTCATTAGCTCATCTCCTTTTATATGATAAATGTCAATGTTTGTGTGTCACACTTTTTCAATTAAAAGTGACACAACTCTCATTAGCTCATCTCCTTTTATATAATAAATGCCAATGTCTGTCTGTCACACTTTTTCAATTAAAGGGACACAACTCAATAACTTTCAATAGCTCATGTTACAGAAATTTTGATTTGACAAGTTTTTTATTACTGCGACTTTTTTCGCTGATTTTTTTACGTGATTTCTTGCGACGATCTTTTGTACGAGGACAATTTTTATAACTAGGAAATAAATTTTTGAATAATTGAAAGTAATTGCTAAATCTAGCGAATGTCAGCCATGAAATAAAAATACTTGTTTGTACGGAAAGTAAGGACATACGCATATCAAACTGTCTTTAAATTTAGGAGCGGTAGGAGAATTATCGCTGAACTTTTAAAAGGTAGGCTTAAATAAATTTGGGAGTAGTGAAAATTAATCGTGAAATTCAGTGAAAGTCACTCATGAAATAAAAATAATTGTTTGTACGGAAAGTAAGGACCTACGTGAATCGAGTTGCTGTAATTCAAGTCTTTAAATTACGTGGCGGCAGAAGAATTATCGTTAAACTTTTGAAAGGTAAGCTTAAATGTTAATACAATACTTAAATGCAGCGATCAATTTTGAATTCTTCTGTAGTTTACTGTTGCCTATCGCATACAGCATCTGTATGCCTCTCAAAGCGAAATCTCCGCCAACAGAGGAGCAGATTGCAATCAAAAGAGCCAAGGCTGCAGCAAGGAAAAGAAAATCCTGTACAAATGAAAATCCAGATCAAACGGCAGCCAGAGGAGCTTCCAATGCTGAGAATATGCAAAGACTTTGAGACTCTCAATCTCCTGAACAAGTCAAGGGCCCTCCGCAGGTGCTAGCTTAAATCCCGCCCATAGGGCGGCTTTTTAGCTAGTAATAAATAAATTTGAATATACCCACTTATTAATTTATTAAAAAATACAATGATCGTCAAAATTATTGTAGGTAGAACGTGTGAAAGGTTGGAAGCACGGATCAAGCAACACGTGCCAATCCCTATTCGCAAAGGAAAGGCTGACAATTAAATTTTTTGATAGTCACTCATTAATTTTTGAAAATCACCCACTTATTTTTGAAAGTCTCTCACCTATTTTGAAAAGTCACCCAGTTATTTTTGAAAGTCTCTCACCTATTTTGGAAAGTCACCCAGTTATTTTTGAAAGACTCTCGCCTATTTTGGAAAGTCACCCAGTTATTTTTGAAAGTCTCTCGCCTATTTTGGAAAGTCACCCAGTTATTTTTGAAAGTCTCTCGCCTATTTTGGAAAGTCACCCAGTCATTTTTGAAAGTCTCTCGCCTATTTTGAAAAGTCACCCAGTTATTTTTGAAAGTCTCTCGACTATTTTGGAAAGTCACCCAGTTATTTTTGAAAGTCACGCTCCAATGTATGAGCCACTCACCTTTTTTTTTAAATTCGCCTACTTATTTCTGGCAGTCACCCACCTATTTTTGAAAATCACTCACCTGTTTTTGAAAGTCAACCACCTATTTTTAGAAAGTCACCCACCGATTTTTGAGCCACCCACCTATTTTTGGAAGTCACCAACCTATTTTTGAAAGTCACCCATCTATTTTTGAAAATCACACACTTCTTTTTTAAAGTCACCCACCGATTTTTGAGTAACCCGCCTATTTCTGAAAGTCACATAACCATTTTTGAAAGTCAACCACCTATTTTTGAAAGTCATCCACATATTTTTAAAAGACATCGAGCTATATCTCAATTTTGACCTGGTTACTGAGTCGGCTCAGACGTTTCCTTTAATTCCAGTATGGCTTGGAATCAAATTTAGCACAAAGTTACTTGATTTGCCGATGGGGTTTTGTTTACCCAGGTGTTTAACGACTAACATGGGATAAATGTCACGAAAAATGATGCGTTTGCTACTAAAAATAGATAGACATTTCTGAGCAATTTTCTTACTGAAAACGGTTGCATATCTACATCTGTTTCCAGTTAAGGGCACTTCAGTGTGGTGTAATGGTTAGTAAGCTTGACTCAATTACGATTGAATAGGGAGATCGATTCTCACTGGGCTCCCTATACCCCTGATGATTTCCACATCTAAGCTATGCTTAGAAAAATCATTTGGACACTTCGACGTGGTGTAATAGTTACCAAGCTTGTTTCGCTAGATCAGTTACGAGTGAACAGTGAGTTCGATCCACACCGGGTGCCACATACCACCGGCCTTGTGCCACATCTAATCCACGCTTAGAAAATCATTTAAACACCTCGAGGTTGCTTAATGGTCAGTAAGCTTGTCTCACGTGATCAATTACGATTAGTTCGATCTTCACTGGGTACACCATAATGCCGACCTTGCGCCACATCTAAGTTTACTCTTAGACAATCTTTTTGGGAACTTCGACGCGGTGTAATGATTAGCAAGCTTGTCTCGCTAGAGCAATTACGATTGCATTGTGAGTTCGATCCTCACCGGGTGCCACATACTACCGGTCTATTATCATATCTAAGCTACGCTTAGAGAATCGTTCGGGCACTTTGACGTGGTGTAATGGGTAACAAGTTTGTCTACTTAGATCGATTACGACTGAATAACGAGTTCGATTGTCACTCAGCACCCCATAATTCTATCCTTGTGCCACATCTATGCTACGCTGAGAAAAATCACCTAATTCTTTTTCCGGTGTGGGTTCCATTAGTCACAAAAGAAAAACCAGAAACTTTGGTGCCCATAGCTGTAACCGTTTTTAAGTTACGCGAAGACAGAACAAAAAAGACACTTGGTTAATTATCGTAGGATTATTATAATTGGATTATGTCTGAATTTTCGGATCCGGCCTTTATTAATCCATTACAGGATTAGAGGGATTAGTATCGTCAGAATATTCTAAATGTGTGCAGAGTATGCCAAAAATCCCACCAACATTTTTCTGCAAAAATAAATGCTCATAAATTCTCACGTCTCGACTGTGTATTTTGAGCGATAAACGGAAGTATGAATCTTAGTTGCCACGGTTATTTTTTTTCCTTTACCTATCGAAGATTTTACTGTAAGTCATTCATACTTTGCTTTTATTATTTTTTGGCATTAGTTTTTATTGAAAGACTAGACTTGAAGCAACTGAAATCTGGTTTTGCAGAAGAATGCTGAGAATTCGATGGACTGAATACGTGAAGTTTTAGAGACACATATAAGAAGACAAACAATTTTTTTTAATTAGTGAGTTCCATATCATAAGATGGAACATTAATAATAATGAATAAAATTGAACATACTAAAGAATAAAATTCAATAAAATTGCCACAGGCTACAACCATGGCTTTCAGACGACTTCGGAATCTCCTGCATCTCTTCTGGACGGTCTCCTTGTTTAATTTTGTGAATGTTGCCATAATCCCTGCTTTCAGTTCATCTTTGGTGTTACAAGGAGTTTTGTTAGTCTCTTGCTCAACTGCACTCCACACATAATAATCAAGAGGGTTGCAACTTGGGGAGTTATGTGACCATATGTAAGGGGTGATGTGGTCGCAGAAATTGTCTGACAGCCATGACTGTATTCTCCTGCTTATACAGCATGATGCAGTGCCCTGTTGTAGATATAATGTCTTCCAACAGCCACCCTCATGACCTAGGACAACAATAACTCCTCAAAGCACTTGATGTAGGCCTCCGTAATGAGTTTCAGGATTTCATTTATTCGGGTGTTCTTTTGTTATCAGAATGATCAAAGTGAGTTTTCCGAGCTGCCGTACCTTTTTAATCCACATTAGGCTCGTCCAATTCTTTCTGAATCCTCTGCAAAGATCTCAGATTGATACCAAATACACTGAAATGTTTGTATTGGAGCTTCCGGCGCGAATGCCAAGCATGACATTTCCAAATTTCTGGCAGAGTGAATTGCATCACGATGATCTTTTTTTCTTACAGACGATACCCAGCTAACTTTACTGTACAGTGCAGTTGACAAAATCAAAAAGAATCAACGAGCATGCGCGAAATTTTTTTTTTAAAAAAAAGCAACAATTTACCCATGGCATCCTGTATAGGATTCCAAGATTTATTTATTTATTTATTATATTTGTAATGAATTTCTTTTTTTAAGTTTTTTTATTGTAAATTTTTTTGTCTTTTCTTTTGGTACATTTTCTTTCTTTCTTTTTTCTTTTTTGGTACTTTTTTCTTTCTTTCTTTTTTTTTTCTTTCTGTACAGTTTCTTTCTTTCTTTCTTTTTTTTCTTTCTTTCTTTTTTCTTTCGGTACATTTTCTTTCTTTCTTGCTTTCTTTCTTTCTTTCTTTCTTTCTATCTTTTGGTACATTTTCTTTCTTTCTTTTCTTTCTTTCTTTCTTTCTTTCGGTACATTTTCTTTCTTTCTTTCTTTTTTTTTCTTTCTTTCTTTTGGTACATTTTCTTTCTTTCTTTCTTTCTTTCTTTTGGTACATTTTCTTTCTTTCTTTCTTTCTTTCTTTCTTTTTTCGGTACATTTTCTTTCTTTCTTTCTTTCTTTCTTTCTTTCGGTAGATTTTTTTTTTTTCTTTCTTTCTTTTTTTTTTCTTTTTTCATTTTCTTTCTTTCTTTCTTTCTTTCTTTCTTTCTTTCTTTTATTTTCTTTTTTCTTTCTTTTTTTTTTTTTCTTTTTTTTCTTTCTTTTTTCTTTTGGTACATTTTTCTTTTTTTCTTTCTTTTTTTTTTTCTTTTCTTTCTTTCTTTCTTTCTTTTGGTTATTCTTTCTTTCTTTCTTTTTTTCTTTCTTTCTTTTGGTTTTTCTTTCTTTCTTTCTTTCTTTCTTTCTTTTGGTACATTTTTTTTTCTTTTTTTATTTTCTTTCTTTTGGTACATATTCTTTCTTTCAGTCTTTTTTCTTTCTTTCTTTATTTCTTTTCTTTCGGTTTTCATTTCTTTCATTTTCTTTCTTTCTTTCTTTTTGTTTTTGCTTTCTAAGTATTTTCATTTGTTTTCCTGCTTTCATTCTTCATTCGAATTTTCCTTCCTCTTTCTTTTCGTGTTTTTCTTTCTTTTATTTTGTTTTCAGTGTATTTTCATTTGTTTCCTTCCTTCACTCCTCATTTGAATCTTTTACTTTTCTTTCTTTCTTTCTTTCTTATTCTTTTTACTAATCTATCTCCTTCTCACCTTCTCAAATCCCTTTGGTCAACATTCTATGTTTTCGTTGGCATTAAGTCAACTATTTTTTGATACTGCAGTTTCGATTCCACCAGCTACTATCATCACCACGACAGTGAGAACAATAGACGCAGTCGCCATTTGTGACGTCTGCTTCAATTGATCTTTCTATTCAAACCACCGATTGTTTTTCTCACTCGCCGAGAGAGAAGGAAGGATGTCATATACAAACAATAACTCCAATACACACGCAGAAACGCACACGGAGTATGCAGTAGACTAACAATTAATGGTGTGGCAAGTGAAACTGGCGGATCGGAGTTCAAATCCCTGTCAATTCCGTTGCATTCACTTTCCAATGATATTAACCCATATCTTCTTCTCTCGGTATTTTTTAGAATCATTTCACCCCAAGTGAGGCAATAAAACCACTAATACGCAAGAATGAAAGAGAATAAGAAGAATTTAGTAAGGAGAAAGAGCAATAAAAACAGGGTTTCAGCAAGACTTCAAAAATGGCGATTGATGTTGTATTTAAAAGATCGCAGGTGGCGGGGAAACCGGAATAGAGTCGAACGGGAGAAAAGTTCGAGAAAAATCCCATTAGAATAGAACTTATTGTTACATCTGGCGATTTCAACAGTAAATAGGTGAGACCTAGTTGCCAATCGAGTAGTATGTTTAAATACATGCGGTCGAGGTATCAAGGAGGGGGGCTCATTAAGATAACTGCCAGAAAATTATTTATAGAACAGACAGAGGAAAGCCATGTTGCAGTTCTAGGAAAGTGACTGAAGTTGCGATGCCAGGTCAAGACCGATAACTTTACATACACTTCTTTGGATTTCGTCAAGAATCTGGAGCCATGACCGAGTGGATAAAAAACGTTGGTTAGATCCAGTAACTTGACCCAAAGAGTTGTGAGTTCAATACCTGGCTACCGCAATGGTGAAGAAAATCTTGAAGAGTTCAGATAAAGGGAGATAACTGTGATATCCGGAAGAGTGAAACTAGAATAATTTACCTCGGTGGACGAAATAAAGTTTGAAATTCCAATCACCTGAAGAAAGCAGGAGCATACAGCGGCCGAAACGTTGTGAATATGGCAGTAAAGATGAGGGCAATGTAAGTAATGTAAATAATTTGGAGATATATAACCAGAGCACCAGACCAGATATGGCAGCAATATTCAATGCACGAACGAATGCTCGATTTATACATTTTCAAGATGGATTCTGATTAAAAAAAATTGTCTGGCACGACACAGTGAACTAATCTTCTTAGCAATGACGGGCAAACTGAGGCATGCGACCCACCCATTTGGCTTACTGAATGGCATGCCTAATTTAGACCCAACTTCTTCTTCTTTATGTACCATGTCCTCTCAGAATGTAGGCGATCACTAGAAAGGCCCTTCCCGTTTATTGTAGCTCTTTATAAATTTGTTATTTTTGATATTTCTCCTAAACCATTTTCTACCATTATGTTACGGGCTGCTTTCCTTTGTATCCCTATACTGGGTCTCATAATGGGCATATTGGACTTTTGTATATTTGTACCCTAACATCATTTTGCTAGCATGCTGTTCGCTTACTCAATAATAATAATAATAATAATAATAATAATAAACATATTGAAAAATATGCTACTAATGAGAATGGCCACTGCTTGTAGATAACTCCAAATAATGGTTCGTCTTCTTAACTAATATATAACCAAAGGAAAGAAAAAAAAACAAATTGGGCTAGGGATGAATATAAGGAAGTTATCTTCTTCTATGTGCTATATCCCTTTGGATGTGGGCAATCATGGCTCTCTACAACTTCCTGTCCTTTGTGGTTATAAGTAAGGTTTGTCTTTCTGCTATCTCTCCTCAATCTGTCCTGTGAGTTTTAGATTTTCCAATCCCTCTTTCCTCGTTACGTGCCCCAGAAATTTCAACTGTCTCTTCCTGATGTTAAGTATCTTTCCTTTTTATTTCTATTTTCTCTAAAATCTCGTCGTTGCTCACATGTTAAGTCCATGGTACCCTCAGTATCCTGCTGTAGAACCACAATTACTGTTTCTTCAAGTCGCTTCTTTTCTTTGAAAAGAATTAATTACCATTTTTTTTAGTTTTGTTTCGATCTCATTTCATTAAATCTCTCATGTATTATCACACATAATGATTAAATACAATTTTTAAAAAAATTTATAAACTTTTGTTGAAGGTTCAGTTTTGAGCATTTTAAACTATTGTCAGTTGTCAGTAAGGAAGGCCAGACGTGTAATTTTCTTCAGAAACAGGATAGTAATATATATTTTTCTCTGGTGAAGAAATATGTTTTACCATTAAAAAAAATGTTTTTCGTATAGTTTTGTGACGTACGGTGTCCGTTTATAATTAAGTATAACTCAAGACTTCAATGTTAAGATAAGACAGTATTTAATTACAACCACAAATAAATATTTAACAAGAACCTGAACCGGGGTAGTAACACCTGTTATGGCCCCAATTATGGGCAAAATAAAAGTATAAAATTACATAATACCAGCAATATATTTTTTATATAAAAAAAAGAACAAATAATACATATTTAAAGCAAAATGACCAACAAGATATTTTATGGTCTGTCTATATTTCTGAGATGAGGTATTATGTACATTATTTACATTATTCAGACTATTGTCCTCATCTTCGTCGCCATATTTATTACAACGTTTCGGCCTTTAAGTATCTGTCTATATTTCTGAGATGAGGTATTATGTACATTATTTACATTATTCGACTATTGTCCCCATCTTTGTCGCCATATTTATTACAACGTTTCGGCCTTTAAGTATCTGTCTATATTTCTGAGATGAGGTATTATGTACATTATTTACATTATTCGGACTATTGTCCTCATCTTTGTCGCCATATTTATCACAACGTTTAGGTCTTTCAGTATTTGTCTATATTTCTGAGATGAGGTATTATGTACATTATTTACATTATTCAGACTATTGTCCCTATCTTTGTCGCCATATTTATTACAACGTTTCGGCCTTTAAGTATCTGTCTATATTTCTGAGATGAGGTATTATGTACGTATTATTCGGACTATTGTCCCTTCTTTTGTCGCCATATTTATCACAACGTTTAGGTCTTTCAGTATTTGTCATCTGAGGTATTATGTAGATTATTTACATATTTATTGTCCTCATCTTTGTCGCCATTTCGGCCTTTCAGTATCTGTCTATATTTCTGAGATGAGGTATTATGTACATTATTTACATTATTCGACTATTGTCCTCATCTTTTCGCCATATTTATCACAACGTTTCGGTCTTTCAGTATCTGTCTATATTTCTGAGATGAGGTATTATGTACATTATTTACATTATTCGGACTATTGTCCTCATCTTTGTCGCCATATTTATTACAACGTTTTATTCAGTATCTGTTCATATTGAGATGAGGTATTATGTACATTATTTACATTTCTATTGTCCCTCATCTTTTTGTCGCCATATCACAACGTTTAGGTCTTTCAGTATCTGGTCTATATTTTGAGATGAGGTATTATACATTATTTACATTATTCAGACTATTGTCCTCATCTTTGGCGCCATATTTATTATTTCGGCCTTTCAGTATCTGTCTATTTCTGAGATGAGGTATTATGTATATTATTTACATTATTCGACTATTGTCCTCATCTTTGTTGCCATATTTATTACAACGTTTCGGCTTTTCAGTATTTGTCTATATTTCTGAGATGAGGTATTATGTACATTATTTACATTATTCGACTATTGTCCTCATCTTTTGTTGCCATATTTATTACAACGTTTCGGCCTTTCAGTATCTGTCTATATTTCTGAGATGAGGTATTATATTATTTACATTATTCGGACTATTGTCCTCATTTTTGTTGCCATTTATTACAACGACTTTCAGTTTTGTTCATATTTCTGAGATGAGGTATTATGGAAATTATTTCATTATTTTGACTATTGTCCTCATCTTTGTCGCCATATTTATTACAACGTTTCGGCCTTTAAGTATCTGTCTATATTTCTGAGATGAGGTATTATGTACATTATTTACATTATTCAGACTATTGTCCTCATCTTCGTCGCCATATTTATTACAACGTTTCGGTCTTTCAGTGTCTGTCTATATTTCTGAGATGAGGTATTATGTACATTATTTACATTATTCGGACTATTGTCCTCATCTTTGTCGCCATATTTATTACAACGTTTCGGCCTTTAAGAATCTGTCTATATTTTTGAGATGAGGTATTATGTACATTATTTTTATTCAGACTATTGTCCTCATCTTCGTCGCCATATTTATTAAACGTTTCGGTCTTTCAGTCTTTGTCGTTTTTGAGATGAGGTATTATGTACACTATTTACATTATTCGGACCATTGTCCCATCTTTGTCGCCATATTTTACAACGTTTCGGCCTTTAAGATCTGTCTATATTTCTGAGATGAGGTATTATGTACATTATTTACATTATTCAGACTATTGTCCCCATCTTCGTCGCCATATTTATTAAACTTTAATGTTTCAGTCTGTCTATATTTCTGAGATGAGGTATTATGTACATTATTTACATTATTCGGACTATTTCCTCATCTTTGTCGCCATGTTTATTATCGTTTCTTTTAAGTATCTTTCTTTCTGAGATGAGGTATTATGTACATTATTTACATTATTCAGACTATTGTCCCCATCGTCGCCATTTGTTACAACGTTTCGGTCTTTCAGTGTCTGTCTATATTTCTGAGATGAGGTATTATGTAACATTATTTACATTATTCGGACTATTGTCCATCTTTGTCGCCATTTTATTACAACGTTTCGGCCAATTTCTATATTTTTTTGAGATGAGGTATTATGTTTATTTACATTATTCGGACTATTATCCCATCTTTGTCGATATATTTATTACAACGTTTGGCAACAATGAATCTATATTTCTGAGATGAGGTATTATGTAAATTATTTACATTATTCAGACTATTGTCCTCATCTTTGTCGACATATTTATTACAACGTTTTCGGTCTTTCAGTATCTGTTTATTCATGAGGTAT